CCCACCAGCTCGCCCCATCCCTGCACCGCCCACCGCGCTCTCCCGCGACTCCGCTAACCCGCACCCATCTTCGCGTGCGCCCCAGCCCTCTCGCTCGCACGCTTCTACGCTCCCCTCCACCACGCTCCCCTATGGCCCTTCTCTGGGGGCGGGGGCGAGAGTCGTGAAAGAGGAAGCAGGCTGTTGCCTTGCTACCGGATTCGCCCACGGAAATGTCTCGTTGATCGCGAACACATTTTTCTTTCTCCATTTTGACTCATGTCTGCAGTGACAAGTTAATATAAAAATATTCGTTATATGTACTTTATTGTATATTGTATGTATGCATTGTATTGTACTGTACGGTGTAATGTATTGAAACTATCCCGGGTGTTATACACTAAGTAAATCAAATGTATCTATCTATTCAAAACTTAGGCAAGGTAGTTTCAATGCTCAGCTGGTGAGACATCTACTTTTTTGGGGGGTCAGACATTCTTTAAATCGTAAACGAATTACCGAAAAAACGTGTAAAGTTCTATTCACAATGTTTGTAGCAAATTTCCTTTTCCTCTATGTTGATCTTATGATGTTGACGATGATGATGGTATGAAAAATATTCCGACAACAATGTTTTTCAGAACGCTCAATGCTTTCTTTGTATTTAGTCTTCAGTTGTAGCATTTAAGACTTGTGATACTGAGTTAACAAGATCACTTGAAGTGATCATGTAAAGGGGGGAGTGCGATGAAAGTAGCAGTTAAAGTGCGGTTAAAAGTGATTTCATGAATTGAGCGATGCGACAAATGGCAGGCCAAATAACAGAAAGTGTTGAATGTCGCGCAGCTGTAGACATAAGGTGACTATGCATCCCGTATTAGCCGGGACAGTCCCTTATTTCCAGTCCCTGTGCCGTATGTTCTGACAGAAAAACCGAACGCTAAAACGACTCTTTTTGTGACAATGACTTGTCAACATGAAATGTCGTTAACAATAATTGTTAACAATCCATCAATATATACTCTTTTGTGTCAAACTACCCAATTAATCTGAACTTCTCTATCATCGTGGATGTATAGATATAAATGGTGGAAGGTTAATCATGGAATATTTATAGGGAGTTGTTATTTTTAAACAACTGCAGTTAATTGTGATTGATAAGTTTTCCGTGTGTATTGAATAATATAATTTTAGTTTACAGATGAATTATTCAATATACAACACTTGAGAAAGATGCACGAATAATCCTCACAGAAGCCGGGGGCAGTGGTCTCATCATTAGATGAATAGAGCTCTGTACCTCCACGGTGCGCCACTTGACCAGAACTGCCACTGCCCAGAACTGCTTGGAAGTCCTACCGAATCATTCGGCGCAACTGAACGAATCATCAATTAAAGTCGCGAAAAAGTTGATGCCAACTCAAATTACATAAATTAAAATTAATCAGAAATTTGTTTATACATTTCGATTTTATTCCAAAGTTGAAGGCGAAAGAGTAGAGAGTGAGTTAACATTGTCCTTCACTGCCAACATCGAAGATCTAGAGTCAGGTGACGCCACTGAAAAGTAATCGCTCAGGCCAGCGATTGAAAAGGAGGAAAGAATCGTGGCGAGTAGAGCTGAGTGGCGGGCGCCGATCACTTACCTTCTTGCAGTCGTGGCAGAGCAGGCTGGGGGCGCCCAGCATGCCGAAGCTGTCGCCGCAGAGCACGCACTGGTTGGTGCCGTTGCCGAGGGCGTTGCGTTTCATGTTCTCCAGTCGCTCCACCAGCCGCCTGCGCGCAGAGGAGCAGCACATGTGGAACGATTCATCTAGTACAATATTAACTCCTTTTAGTGCTTTCTCTCTACGGAATAGTGAGAAAGGCATGTAATGCTGCGTGAAAAAACGGCGAATTTTAGGCAGTAAAACTCGTATTACAGGAGTCTGGGAACGAACAAGTATAAATACGGTTGAAATATTTAGAAAATATAATTCTCTAACACGTGATGTTGACAGAATCCATGTATTGATACCGAAAAGTCGATTGACGGCAACGTTTGAGAACGCTAGAAGCTAAACTGTTCACCCGAAGTTCTTCAAAATTAATATTCCGCAATCCATATGGCTAAAGTTGCGGTCCCTTGAATTTGAAATTTTAATATTTAAATTTTAAAGGGTACTTTACATGAAGCTTGTGAGACATTTTCCAAATTTAAAAAATATATATTTAATAAAACGGTAAATAAACTGAAGAAAATTGTTCTTGATTTCCCAGTTTGATGATGGTGAAACTGGTTGATACAGTGTACATATACTATATCACATTATTCAGGTTGTCCAAAGATCTCTGAACCATTTGTTCATCTAGTTGAGAATAAGTGTTTTTTTCTCATTTATCTCAGTCATGATAACATTACTCAGACTTAATCTTGAATATAAATACAATGCATAACAAAACGAACATATGAGGCACACAGTAGAAATAAAACAAATACGTTTAGGTTGGGAAGAAGATGAGGTTGTACTGGGCGGGAAGAACGAGGCAGGGGTTGAATTTTTAGCATGGCGCCGAGATAGAGGAGAGTGTTGCCGGAGAAGTTGGAGATTGGTTGATGAATGGGGCGAGTACAGACAGAATGGTAGAGAAACATTATGTTACGATGGAAGTGGAGAGACACACACAGGAAAAGAGAGAAATGATGAGAATATAAAAGGTATGGTAGGTATGGAATATAAAAGGTATTAAAAGAGGACGATAACATACGATTTAGGAGACGTTTGAGAGGAGAAGGTATTAATTTTTATGACAATGTAATTTAATTGGGAACGGTGGGGAGCTGTAAGAGACGAGGGTGTAAATGAAAAGTGGTGTACATGAGGAACGAAATATCAGGAATTAAAGAAAGAGGAATGTGTGCAAGTGGAATGATGTTTTTAAGGAGCATTTTGGTAGTGACGTGTGTGAATATGTGGAAGCTTCGAGGCTGGGATTCGAACGCGAGCTGTAGCGACGGGGCCGAAATGGGGTCCCTGCGGTGCGCCGAGCCTCCGGCAGTGCGGTCGCGACCCCCACCCCCACCCAGGGAGGGGGCGCTCGCCGCGCAGGTGTGTCGGGGGGGGGCTTAAAAGCAATAAACACGTCTCGTCGCTAGCAGCCCGCCTCTCGCCGCAGCCACGGCTCCTGCTGTAATTAAAGTAATGGGCGCTCCCGGTGTCCTGGACGGCGGATGCGGGGGGGGGGGAGGGGGGAGGAAAAAGGTGAGAAGCGTGAAGAAAGTCACTGCGTTTCTCTTTGTGTAAAATTTAAACTAGTGGTCCTAAAATAGCACGTACTTTCTCGTCCGTATTTTCACCCCAAATTACGCGAAAAGTACTTAGAATAGAGAAAGTATTGCAATGCAGCAAAAAATCGCATTATAGATTGGAAATGTGAATAATCATTGCTTATATATACACAAAAAACTCTCATTAGCACGAATTCGCTTAACACGAACTTCGCCGTAACACGAACAAGGGTCCCGGGTCCCAGTGAGGGGTTGAAGTAATAGCGTCATTTGTAATAATCGGATAACACGAATTTTTACACCACGATCTCTGAATATTTCGGTCTCGTGTCATTCATGTCAATGAGGGTTTACTGTAGTTAGTTACTTCCTCTAACACGTTTTCCAGTCAGAATCCAAGTTTGAAGGGTCCTTGATACCGAAAACTTAGTTGCAGCAAAACGTCTGTAAACAAATGCTCGTCCTTCCATCTGTGAAGAAAGTTAGCGGCTTAACCGTGAACGTATTTTTTACTAAAATTGGTGCGCCCTACTTATTTGGCTGATTGCTTCACTTAAATTCACCTTGACTCTTCAATTTGAAATGGAAATTTTAATTTTTGAGGTTCATTAAATGAAGCCTTTAAGAAATTTCCAAGTATTTCTCAAAAACGTTCCAAACACTTGGAATATTTTTTTTACCCGATAAAGCAAAGAACGTTTATAAAAATGGCGCGATTCAATGTTCATTGAATTGTCTGCTTTTTTCAAATTTCTTCGGAGCTTTCCCTTATCTGCAATACTAAAGATCTTTTCACGAAAAGAAATCCGTTCTTCAAAATTAAATCTCAAATGAGGTCATGTATAATGTGTTCAAAATATATGAGTAGTTTCCGTGCTACTTTACATAAATAATGACAATTTTTAAAACACGATTTTTGAAAAAAAGGTCTCATTGTTTTCTTTCCTCATTTAGAGCAAAGGACGCTTAAAAATGGCGCATATCTCATTTTCGTTAACCCCCAAAAATAGCTAAAATCCCACAAAAGCGAAAAAGTTGAAGCACCCAAGTTCCCAGTTTCGTTTTGCATTTGTCTTGTTTTGTATAATAATCATATTTTTATTAATTCCAAGTGTTTCGGTCATTAATGCCAGAATATCTGTATCACATCTAAGCGCATCAAGGTATTACAACTACCAATGAATTGTGTCAAATTGTTTAAATACATAAAATCTCATATAATATATATCTCATTAAATAAATGTGTAAAATATAACATTATTTTGTGAAAAACAATTCAAAACATTAACAATTATCTGGTTTACAATTTATTTTCTTTTACGAGACCGAAAATAACAAATTCTATACGTATTGCACTCAATTGAAGATAGCCCAGTCCAAAGACATTGCAAAAGTAATATATAAATAATAAATATAATAATAAATAACTAAAATCTGTGAAATTCTGTAGCCCCACTGGTGACATATCACACTCATGCCATGCCAGTTGCTTTGTTTTCGCTTTTCTAACTTTCATGAACTTTTCCCCTTGGGCCATTGCGTCCCTCGCGTTTACAAAGCGCGAAATGCAATTTGAGTGTTTCATTTTTAATGTATCGCGCGCAGAATTGGTTGGACATGACGCCACGGTAAGCGCCACAAGCTATAATCCTGCAAGTGACAAACGCTCGCGGATGACATCGATATTGCCGGGGAAAATTAAAGGAGGGAATTAAACGTGACTAGCATCTCCATTTTATTACCACTAGAGGCTATTATAAGTGTTGTGAGGCAGTTTTACTTTCTCGTGCACTAATAGTATACCGAGCGTAGTGGCACGGGGTTTAGCGCTCTGTCTTCGCATTCGGGAGGCCCGAGTTAAAAGCCCCATGCCGGCCGTCCTGGCCGGAGTTTTCGTGGTTTCTCTTGGTCATCCAGGCGAATGTTGGGATGGTGCCACTGAAAGGCCACCACCGTGAAACCGGCGAAGATAGACGAATTCGATAATACGTGAAGTCAAGAAGATTAAGCGAACTCGGGACACGGCGGTTCCTGGTTGGGTGACCGATTAGGAACCTCAGGATATAACGACGCCGAGGCCAATTGCCCTTCACGGGACACACAATGGGTAAATACAAATACAAAATACTAGTAGTATAGAAAAAATATCTGATGCTGTAAAAAAATTATAAGTTTTCCGTCTAAAAACACTATTTATGGATCTCTGATATCTAACACGATTTGTATCTTGCTAACGTTTTTGAAAGCCTGCTTTTTCCGTCGAGTCATCTGTCTGTGAGCGCCTATACCGAAGGCTTCAAGGCACCAAAGTGGATATTCCCCAATTGTTCTGAGGCGGATGCGCAAAGTCGAAATGGATCGTTTAATTCCTGAGGATATGAAGCCCTTACGACATTTTCTTAACAGTGATTCCCAATTTTTTATTGTTGTTTTGTAGAGACGTACACACGAATTTGGCGCAGTCCTAATTTTGATTCAAACTTCTAAATGTTCTCAATAAATGAGTAGGTGTACCACAAGTAAAGAAAACCCAGGAGTGACGGACATGAAAATTAGTTCATGAATTAACACGACAGACAAACTACTAGTAATATAGAAAATACTTTCTTTCTTCTAAGTCTTCTTACGTACTTGCTTCCAAATTTCGCAACTTGCTCGAAAAGTTTGTGGGCGCACTTATTTCAAAATGCACTCATTTCGTCTTATCATTCGTACGTCATACACACATATCGTATACTAGTTACGTAAAAAACCCTTGCTTGATTTTACCCACCAAACTACTTGAAAGAACTTGTGAAGTTTAACAAACACTTTTGTATAGAGTGATAGTGTAAGTGTTGGGTAAAAATTTCAATATTAGGATTTTAAATCGCAGTTACCAATAACAAAAACTAGTGGTGCTACAGTACTTGGTGGCACAGACTTTCCCATATTCACTTTCTATTTCCTTTGGCCTCGGCTAGCGATTCGGACTTGCCACTTACTCTTGCCAGCTGCCATCTATCGCCACCTAAAGTACATTATTTTTACATTTTCTTAATTTTAAGGTTTCGTAATAGTAGAACAGAAATATTATTTTAAGAATATTAAAGCCGTTTTCCAGCTCAAGAATAAAATACTTTGCTTCCGGTGGAGAAAATAAAAACCAATAAATAAAAGCTGAAGATATTAAAGTGTAAAGAACATTGCTATGAAGCAGTTAAATAGCTGCAGTTAATACAAAAATATATTTAGTCTCTGTCGCTTTTCATTTAGAAACTATTAGTCACAAAATCATATTATCTCACACTAGGACATTGGAGACTATTCCTTCTACATTATTGCTCTATCAAATCGCACTCTATGTCAAAATTTGAGCGTAATAGTTCTAAATATATTCTATAATAAAACAATTGCCGAGAACTGATTAGTTAAAATTAACCGGTATTGAAACGCGGAAATGTTCTTCTTGTGAGCGCCTACAGAGGAAAAGATAACCTTTCCTTTTAAAGTATTACCCGTTTTAAAT